GCACTAATTCAGTACATCATTTTGCGGAACAAGTATGAAAAATTACTAATATCAATAATGAGTTTGATTTAGTTATTAGGTCACCAACTATTGACATTGTAAAAATAACATTTTATGTGATTTAAGTAGTGACCAGATATTTTCATATAAATGTTGCATGAGAATTGCCAAAAAAAAAAGAGTGCCAAGTATCCAATACGCAACATTGGCAATAAGAATAATGTCTCTAAATGTGCTAGTACAAATTCCGGATTCTAGGTTAATTATTTTGAACTATACTGTCCAACCATGTTATGTTCCAACCAAAAAATTCCTCTTTGAAAAATACCTCCAAAAAAAGAGCAATAAGTTTCATCATGTTTTATGTGATAAAGAAAACAAAGCTCTGAGAAAAAAAAGTTCAAGAAGTTTGCTTAACAAACTCAATGTTAAAACATTGAGTTTGTTAATTATAAACTTTGAATTATTAGAGGATTAATTACAAACTTTTCACCTCATGGCAACTTATAAACTTTGAGTAGTCACCTCATGATGTGCTAAAAAATCCATGATCAGATAATAAATAAAAAAGATCCTACTTTTTTAATTGATGTAATTAATTACATTAATTAATGAGATTGTTTATATAGAAAATGTTTTGGGGGGTCTACTTTTGAATTTTTTAGAAAATATTTCTTTAATGCCAAACACCTGAATCCAAAAAAAATTACAATTCAACAAGCCTTATTAAATATCAACTAACACTATATAACAAGCACCATAGTAAACTAACTAACACTACATAACAAGCACCATAGTAAAGTAACTAACACTATATAACAAGCACCATAGTAAACTAACTAACACTACATAGCAAGTACCATAGTAAACTAACTAACACTACATAACAAGTACCATAGTAAACTAACTAACACTACATAACAAGTACCATAGTAAACTAACTAACACTACATAACAATTAGAATTGCACATCAACACTACATAATAAGTACCATAGTAAACTAACATACCAAGTAACATTGCACATCAACTAACACTAAATATCAAGTATACCTATATCATTAAGAATAAGATTACTTGAAAAAAAAATCATTTTTTGTAACAACAAAACAAAAAAAAAAAGAAAAACCTGATGATATTATCCAGAGCTTCAAATAGGAAAGCCATAATCAATTATCTCTAGGTTTCAGTTGCTTTTTTATCCTTTGTTATTGATGTGCATCAAGAAGTCCTTGGAGCATCTTTACAATCTGACACCTCAATAAGCACTAAAGATTACTTAACAGAGCACCACAACTTGATAATTTAACTAAAGGTTTCTTAAAAAGAATTTTATACTATTTATCTTGGTTTTTTACTTAAATTTTAAGCTTTATTTTCAACCTTTTTCTTTTCTTTTCTTGCATGTTAATGCAATTTTAAAGTCAATCAACTTTTTTTAAGAGAATATATGTTTCTTTAAAAAGTTAATGAAAACTTTATATTGAATTTTTTTTAAATTTGTTTTAATCATTTAAATGAACATTTAAAACTGATATTATAATTTGTATAATTTAAATTAGAAAAATTTGATATTAAACAGATCCTTAAAACAAGAAGCATAAAGTTCAATAAAACGAATTATACTCATGAGAACGCAGAATTTTAAATGCATAACACAATTGACTTTATAACTAACTTTAGCTAAATGTTTTCAATAAAAAGATTTTATGATGATCAATTAAAAGGTAATTAAAAGATAAAGATGTGAAGATTCACATTCTGTAAGATGTGAGGAAGATCTTTAAAAGATAAAGATGTGAAGATTCACATTCTGTAAGATGTGAGGAAGATTTACATTCACTTATGTAAAAGGCACTTCTGAGATCACAGAATATTTTTTATCATCTTTTATCTAGCATCTTTTGATGAATAATTTTGTTGAAAAATGTTACCTATAAATAAAGCAAATAAAGATCATTCAGTAACCAGAATATAGATCATTCAGTAACCAGAGATTAATATGATTAGATGGCAATTTCATAATTGCCATCATGAAACTGCATTGTCTATGATGATTCAGCAGTGTTCACAGTTAGCACGGATCCTGATAATGCCAACCTACCTGACCCAAGAACGCCACTTATATGGGGTGATAGCGTACACATCAAGGTACCCTGTGATGCAAATTTTGAAATCTTTTAATTATGTCCGCAGAAAATAATTTAACTTGAATGTTCAAATTAAAATTTTGATTTTAAAGTGCAACAATAAAAACATCTGTAGAATGAGAACCACTTTACATAATTTTATAAAAATTGGTGAAAATGTAGCATATGGCTGCACCAAATTCTAAATAAAATTTATAGCAATTTTTTCTATTTTTTCTATTTTGTTATTTTTTTGCTACTTATACCTCAAAACATTACTGTGATACACTATTTTCAAAATGCATAATAATGTTAAAAAATGGTTGAAAAATTTTTATAAAGATACCTTCATTAAAAAAAAAATATAAAAACCTAGATAACTAAAATAATTAGCAAACAAAAAGTTAGGAGGGTCAGAGGAGAATCTTATGAAAGGGAGAATAGTCCTTTGAAGAGCAGTAAAAATCTATAGTAGGAATGTGTCATCAAATAAAATCTCTTTTAAAAACTAAAATCAAGGAAATATGAAATTATTTCCTTGATTTTAGTCGTTTGTAATTGATAATACTTGTATTATAAATTCAGTAATATTTGTATTATAAATTCCAATATAAATTCAGGCTAAATTTTGTAAAAGGGATAGTTTGATTTAATAAAGTTGGATTTAGGGAACTGCCACAATGCCAAATCAAGCAAAGGTTAACGATGAAAATCAAAAACTTGTCTCTGTCTGAAAAAATATTAACTAAGATAAAGAACTATCCCCTGAAGAAACTATTTTTTATATTTGACTTGCTAAAGCATATGGCAGGCCTCCACTTATAATTACCCCAGATACATACTTATACTTAAATAATTTTTACATATATATGTTCAAAGAAAACCTTTAAAAAAAGAGACAAATAGGTTTCAGGAAGTATATTTTTAATAAGTTTCTAATCACTTTAAAAACAAATAATTTGAAAGTTTTAAACTTTCTGAACAAATTTTAATATAAAGATAAAACATGTATGTTCTGGTTTCTAGTCAAAGTAGTGCCCAGATACTATCAAGCGCTCCAAAATTGACCACTCTAGCTCTTGTAAATGTACAACTAAATACAGGACTACCAAACAATGGATTAAAGGCATTGATCAGAACTGTAAACCAAACATCAAACAGCAAGATGGTAGAGCTGAGTTCGAGTTGTTGAGATTCTGAGTTCGAGTTGTTGCTCACTGCAATGATTTATCAAGTCGCAAAATTTCTCATGGATATTTTGTTAAGCTTGGAATTAATGGTATTAAAGGTTTTCTCAAGTTTTTGTCTAAGCATTTTTGATACTGCATTAAGGGTTAATTAAAGGATTAATACCAGCTCACCACCTGAAAAATAATCTTTTACTCATAGTACTGGCAAAGACACTGGAGTTAAGAGACAAATTCTTCTTGGGGTATCACAAGATTTGCCAGAAACTCACTCTAACGTTGAACAAATCTGGTCAATGACTAATGCTAATGGAGTTAAAATATTTTCGACTTGCGATATGAAAGCTGGATATATAATTTGTGGTCTTCAAACCCATTCAAGTATGCACCCTTGAACATGATGTGATGTCAAATCCAAGTGTCTTGCTAAATCTGGGAACTTGTGAAAACTGGGCTCAATCCAATCTAGCCTCGAGTCTTTTCAGTAATCTGTCAGCGTTGTTGCTCATGCAAAGTTGTTTGGCAATGTCATTCAAAAGCCAATCATCAGTGGGTCTGACAATATTCTGATTTTAGAAATAATCCCACAGATGGAAGTGCTTCTCCTTATAGAAGTTTTCAATCACCTTTTCAAGATACTTAAAATTCCTTAGTTAGAAGCTTTTAATTGGTCAGCTGCCCTTCACGATCAACTGAGTCTGTATTTAGGGTGTTAGCCAGCCCAATAGCACCGCTTATACCAAGGAATTCGCAATGGGTTTAAAATTTTCAAAATTAAATAATCATTTTTTGTAAAAAAAGCAGTAAATAATATATCTGGCTAACACCCTGGTATCATGGAAGCCAGTTCAAGGGAAATGAATGCAAGAAGCTTTTTAAAAATGTGGATGTGCTCCAGCAACTTGCTGATACAAACTCGCTTCCCAACATTCTTCACATAATTAAAGCATTCAAAAGTTTCAATTTAGTTGTAAAAGCTTGCTTTGGATTTATCCTTCAGCCAGATTTTTCTGAAATAATTGAAAATTTCAAAATGTGTTAATGATAACTGGTGTAAGCATAACACCCAAAATTCACACCGTCTTTTACCACATCAAAGATTTCATCAGTTGCAAAGGATCCCCTTGGTGCCCTGTTATAAACAAACTGTTGAAAATGGTACATGTAGCAATAAAATTTTTTTTAAATATTGCTGATATTACAGAGTAGAGCACTTATGTAACCTTTATTTTGATATTACATAGTAGAGCACTTATGTAACCTTTATTTTGATATTACATAGTAGAGCACTTATGTAACCTTTATTTTGAAAATAGTGATCAAATATTACAGTAATTGGTAACATTTTGAGGTCTAAAGTAGTTAAAAAACTAACAAAAAAAAACTAAAACTGCCATAAATCTTTAACCAGTAAACCAATCCAACTAAAATTTTATCCAGAGTTTGGTGTGCCCATATGCTACATTTGCACCAATTTTTTATCATTTTATTTTTATATGATCAATTAATTATTGTAGTGATTCTCATTCTACAGGTGTTTTTATTATCACACTAAAGTCAAAATTTCACTAAATTTGAACATTCAAATTGAATTATTTTCTGTAGTCAAAATTAAAAGATTTCGAAATTTGCATCAGAGGGTGATACATAAAATAAATATTAAGTTTATAAATTTCAACCTTACCTTAATTTGTTTACTCTTTGAAATTAAATCACATCTAAAAAAATGAATGGTAAATACATTTTGGAAAATAAATTAATTTAAACACACACACATACATATTTATATATAGAGAGAGGCCTAGGTAGGAGTAAATAAGTGCAAGAATGAAGAAAAGTTCTCCTAAAAGGAAAGCCATATTTTATATTTTCTTATTGTTATAGAATGCAGGAAGTTCAAGAATTATTAAAACATAAGGATTACACAATAAAAGTGTTTACATAATTACAATTTTTTTTAGCAGAACATTTTTTAGTGGATTATATTTTTTTATTTTGCTTGAATTGAGACAAATTTATATAACTCATTATAATTAAAATAAAAAGTATATAATTCAACCCTCGGAAACCAGGAAAAATACCTCAAATTGTTAGAGGTCGGCAAAAAAAAAATTTGACACAAAGGGGATACCATAACACATAGAAACAAGATTGGCGAAATTTCTCCAACCTCAAACACTTTAAGTTTGGCAGTTAGGTCCTAATTCCGATAGCTGATAATTCATTACATAGTATAAAAATGCAATAATTTAGTTTACACAATAATTTAGTTTACACAATAATTTAGTGGATATTAATTTTTTTAGTTTTTTTTAACTATTTTCTATGTTTATGTTTATGTTCTATGTTTTATGTTCTATGTTTATGTTCTTATTCTTATATGTTTATTTTATCAGATAATTTAAAAGTATTTTGATTTAAATATTTTGATAAAAATCAAAAGAATAATAAAAATGGTAAAGTGGCCAAAATTACATAAAAAAAAGGACCATCAATGATTGTAAACGTGGACGAACGTGTCAAAGTTTTAAATCTTTGGTTTCAAGATAAAATTGTTTGTCTGAAAAAAAATCGTTGAATGTATGATAAAATAGTGTGTATAATTGATTGTAAAATATGGTGGATGCAGTGTAGGTGTAGAGCTGTTTTGGTTGGAATGCCATAAGTGACTTAATAGTCACCTGTGGGTTTCAACCAAAGTAATGACAAAGGTAGTTTACTTGTACACCACGCCCCTGGTAGTACAGCGCTTAACTTGTTTCTCCACGCAGTGGCCTTGTTTGTCAAAGTTTGAGTTACAGAGTTATAGAGTTGAGAGAGGATTATAACCACAATTAAGTAGTCCCTAATCTGTAGTGGCCTTCCCGGCTATAAAGGAGGTAATTAACATAACAAAAAAAAAAATTGTACACTTAAAAAATCATGCTACACCTTCGCAAAGAAGGGTTAATGAGAAACCATTTATTTTTTCAAAAGAAAATGACTTTAAACTTAAATCTAAAACATATTTTTCAAAAAATTGTATTAATTATTTGACTGAGTTGATGAGAATGATCAAATATTAAATAGAATGATTTAGGCTAAATCATTATTTATTTAACATTTGATCATTCTTCTTCTATTTATATTTTTTAAAAGTATTTAAATCGAAATACTTTTAAAAAATATAAATAAAAATAAAAATATATAAATAAAAAATATATAAAGAAATGATCAATTATTAAATTATAGATTATCCAGGTCATATTTTTAAAATCCGGAAAATTGTTTGGATAAAATATCCGAAAAAAATCCAGAATATGTTTTCCTTTTCTTTCATTTTAATTTTGCTTTTAGCTGAGTTGTTTTTTTTTTGTTTTTTTTTTTCAAACTCTTCATATTTTTTCTGTTCATATTTTTTCTATTTATTTTTCTTAAAAAATAAATATATTACAAAAATATATACTTAAACATGTATGTATGAAAATGTTTTGAATATCCAGAAAAACTAAAAGGTAAAAAAAATATCTGGATTTCCGGAAATATTTGGAAAAAGATAATACCTGTTAAATAGGATGATTTACCCACTCAAATCATATCTTTTATCAAACTTTTATGGGAGGAATTAAAAGTAATATCAAAAACTAATGATGCATAAGCCTAATGAAAAAAACTTATTAGTTAGTGGCATAAAATTGACTTCGACAAATTGGATAAGTCATTAAGTAGAATGTTAAGAATAGATATATTAGATAAGTTTAAAATTTACTTGCCTTTTATATATAAAAGGCAAGTAAATTATAAACTTATCTGATATATTTTTAAAACATGTTTTTCCATTTAGTTCTTTATCTGAAAAGGAGCTACATTTGCAAACAATAAATGATAGAGTGATTCATGTTAATGAACTCTCAAACAACATATCATCTTTTCCAAACACCATAGAGTCTAATCTTTATAATGAACTTAATGATTTCATTTCCCATCAACTTAATAACAAAAATGACAATGACATAAACCTCAAAAAAAAACCTATTAATTGTAAATATATGGACATAGAGTGTTTCAACTTTCTCTTTTTCATTTAAAAATTGCTTCTCTTGTTAAAAATTTCGACGAATTAAACTCACTTTTATCTCTTATTAACCATGAATTCAGTATTATTGGCATAACTGAAACTACACTAAAAAATGACATCCTACCAACTATCCAATTAAATCTTACCCTTTATGTTTATGAGCACACCCCGACAAAATCTTACTTAGGAGATATCTTACTTAATATATCTAATACATTAACTTATAAAACTCGAAATGATCTTAATATGCTTAAACCAAAGTTTTTAGAATCTGTGTTTGTGGAAATCATATTTCCTAAAAAATCAAACATCATTATTGGCTGCATTTATTGCCATCCTAGTATGGACATTTCAGAATTTATTAAATCATATTTAATTCCACTTTTTGAAAAGCTATCTATGGAAAAAAACAAAACTACTTTTTTAATGGGTGATTTTAATGTCAATCTTTTATTAGCAAACTCAGATAATTATGTCTCTGTATTTTTAGACACCATTGCTTTATATAACTTTCTTTCCTTTATTTCATTGCTAACAATAATCACGAATCACTCCAAAATTCATATTGATAACATATTTTCTAATGCAACTTCTACACATATTTTTTCCTGTAATTTTACTTCAAAGGTATCAGATCATTTACCCCAATTTTTAATACATCCATTTTATAGAACCAAAATTAATCCTTGCAAAAGCTGCATCAGAATTTTAAAAAATAAATTATGAAGAATTAAAATCTCAAAAAATAGCTGGACTAATGCAGTAAATGTCAATGAAGGTAAGACTAATAAGTCATTTAAAGATTTTTTCACAAATTTTAATTCTCTTTTAGATAAACATGCACTATTTAAAAAAGTCAGCAATTGCTGCTTATCAAGGGGTCTCAAACCTTGGATAACACGAGGAATTTTAACTTCAATTAAAATACGAAATAAAATATTTAATAAATTTCTTAAAGCAAAGAATCCTAATAACAAACTCAATCTAGAAAAATCTTATAAAACATATAAAAACTTACTTGTTACTCTCACCCGTCATAGTAAAAAGAACCATTACTCTAAGTTCTCTGATAATGCCAAAAATTTGAAATCTACATGGGAAGGTATTAGGAATCTTTTAAGCATTAGTTAGAGAGTTAACTCATACCCATAACCATACTTCCTGCTTATCTTCTAACAACTCCATGATATACGACCCCATTAAAATTTTGAAATCTTTTAATTCATTTTTTGTTTCAGTTCCGGAAGAATTACAGAAAAAGATTCACTCATCCAAAACTGACTTTAATAAATATCTTCAAAATCCTAATCTTACATCAATATTCATAAAATCTACAGACAAAAACGAAGTATTATCTATTATTCATTCTCTTAATGACAGCAAAGCTTCGGGACCTAACAGCATTCCAATACCTGTTTTTAAAACTCTTGCAAATAATATCTCTCCTGTACTTTCTGAAATATTTAATCTGTCATTCAACACGGGTGTATTCCCTGATATTTTAAAAACTGCTTCTATTATTCCAATTCATAAAAAAGACTCTAAACCTAAATGTAATAAATACAGACCAATTTAATTATTACAAAATGTTAGCAAACTTTTAGAAAAACTTATGTATTCTTGTATTTACAACTTTTTGAATAATTATGCTTGTTTTCATATTCGACAGTTTGGGTTTCGCTCAAATCACTCCACTTCTCATGCTCTTATTAGCATCACTGAAATGATTTGTGGTGCGATTGACAGTGGTTCCTTTGCTTGTGGTGTATTCATAGATCTTCAAAAAGCTTTTGATACGGTTGATCACAACATTCTAATAAAAAAGTTAAATTACTACGGAATACGTGGTATTGCTAATCATTGGTTTTCTTTATATTATAGGGATTGTACTCAGTTTGTTTCAATTAATGGATTTGAATCCACACATAAAGTTATTAAATATGGCATTCCACAAGGTTCCGTTCTTGGACTGTTATTGTTTTTATTATATATATATGATTTATCTTGTTCATCAAAAAATTCTACGGTACATATGCTGATGATACCAATCTTTTACATATCAACAAATCACTTACAACTATTTGAAAAAAAGTTATTCAAGATCTTCATTGCTTATGTAACTGGTTAAATACTAATCGTATTTCCTTGAATGTCAATAAAACTGAATACATTATTTTTCATTCCCCTCGAAAAATATATAAAGTATCTTGGAATATATCTTGATGAAAACCTATCTTGGTATAATCAACTGTATCATCTTAAAAAAAAAACTTACACGAGCTAACAGTATGCTTTCTCTAATTTGTTACTATGTTCCTATCCAAACTATTTGATTGCCTTTTTTTTAATTCTCTTCTCACCTTCGCTATTGTTGTATTGTTTGGGGTCAAAAAAGAAACTTTTTACTTAATAGTATTGCTAGTTTACAACGCGTATCTATTAGAATAATGATGTTTTCACCAATGAGATCTGATATCCGAAAAAAAATTTCTGAACTAAAAATCCTAAAACTCCATGATCTTGTAAAGTTTTACAATTGTCTTTTTGTGTTTGACTTTCTCTAAAATAAACTACCAAACTCTTTTTTAAACTTTTTTATAAAACAAATGAAATTTATAATCATCACACCAGGAATACAGAAAATAGTAAGCTATACTTTTC